AAAAAATAAAAGAAAACCAAATAAATGCACAGCAGTACAAGGATACTCGGTTTAATGCCGGGAGCTCGGCATAATTTCTTGATCACGCATAGATAGGGTCGCCGAGACTGACGGTCTCGACATGTCTCTTTCCGAACTCGCCATCAACGTATGGCTTCACTCTATGCCCGTTAACCAAGAATAAATCGTTGTTTGCCGGATTACGCAAACGGACGGCTCCAAGTGACAACACTTCATCAACGATATACAGTCCACTCCAACGTGACTTGAGCTTCCCGGGGAAAAGACGAAGGCGGGAATTAAAGAGGAGTACCTTCATTCCGGGCTCGAGGTTTTTCCGAACAAGAGTGGCATCATGAAGCCTTTTTGTCTTCTCCTTGTAGATTTTGGAATTCTCATAGGCTTCATTTCTCCACTCTTCTAATTCCGAGAGTTGCAGCATCCTCTCTCGCCCGGCAGCATCAAGATCGAAATTCATCTTTTTGATTGCCCAGAAGGCCTTGTGTTCGATCTCAACCGGCAAATGGCATGATTTCCCGTAGACGAGCCGGAACGGGCTCATCCCCAATACTCCCTTGTATGCCGTCCTTTGGGCCCAGAGTGCATCATCGAGCCTGCTCGACCAATCCTTCCTAGACGAATTTACCGTCTTCTCCAGAATAATCTTAATCTGCTTGTTGCTCGTTTCTGCTTGCCCCGAAGTCTGCGGATGGTATGGGGTGGCCACCTTATGCGAAATTCCGTATTTCTTCATCAACTTCTCGAAAGTCCGGTTACAAAAATGTTTACCCCCATCGCTTACAATGGTACGAGGAAATCTAAACCTGCTCAAGATATTTCCTCGCAAAAACTTAATAACGACATTAGCATCACATGTCCGTGTGGGAATAGCCTCGACCCACTTGGACACGTAATCTACAGCAAGGAGGATATATTCGAAGCCAAAAGACTTGGGAAACGGGCCCATGAAATCAATGCCCCAAACATAAAAAATTTCAACTTGCAAATTGTTCGATAGGGGCATTTCATTTCTAGCACAAATGTTCCCAATTCTTTGACATCGGTCACATGATTTACAAAAATTATGAGCATCCTTAAAAAGAGTTGGCCAAAATAAACCTGATTGGAGGACTTTAAAGGCGGTCTTACATCCTCCAAAATGTCCTCCACAGTTAAGCTCGTGGCAAAAAGTGAGGACATCCAATTGCTCTTCTTCGGGCACACACCTCCGAAGAATCTCATCCTTTCCCACCTTGAAGAGGAGTGGGTCATCCGAAAAGTAACTCCTACATAACAACACAAAACGTTTTCTCTCTTGGGAAGAGAGGTTAGACAACAAGACACCATCTGACAAGTAATTGACAATATCAGCATACCAAGGGACCGTAGTCACTTCACTCGCATGCTCATATGGAAAGTCATCATTTATACCAATATACTCATGCAATGCAAGTGAAGATTCAGACGGAACAATACGAGACAAATGATCAGCAACAACATTTTCACATCCTTTTCTATCCCTAATCTCTACATCAAACTCTTGCAAAAGAAGAGTCCACCGAATAAGCCTAGGTTTCGATTGAGTTTTACTCAAAAGATACTTAAGGGCTGCATGGTCGGAATGCACAATTACTTTAGATCCTAAGATATAAGACCTAAATTTTTCAAGGGAAAACACAACAGCTAAAAGTTCTTTCTCAGTGGTAGTATAATGCAATTGGGCACCATTGAGAGTCAAACTAGCATAATAAATCACACGAAGCAATTTATCAACTCGTTGACCCAAAACGGCTCCCACAGCAAGATTCGATGCATCACACATAATCTTAAATGGTAAAGACCAATCAGGTGCAATCACAATAGGAGCAGTCACAAGCTTATCTTTCAATTTAGCAAAAGCCTCTACACATGCATCATCAAACACGAAAGGCACATCATTAGCAAGCAAGTGGCACAAAGGCTGGCTGATTTTCGAAAAATCTTTAATAAATCTCCTATAAAAGCCAGCATGACCCAAAAAACTTCTAACTCCCTTAACATTCACAGGAGGGGGGAGTTTTTCAATCACATCAATTTTTGCCTTATCAACTTCAATTCCACGACTAGATATCACATGACCCAACACAACTCCACTCGTCACCATGAAGTGACTTTTCTCCCAACTCAAAGTCAAATTACATTCAATGCATCTCTCAAGGATACGAGATAAGTTATGGAGACAATCAGAAAATGAAGTGCCAAAAATAGAGAAGTCATCCATAAATACCTGTAAGCAATCCTCGAGCATGTCGGAGAATATGGAGAACATGCACCGTTGGAAGGTCCCAGGAGCATTGCACAAGCCAAAGGGCATACGTCTGAAGGCAAAGGTGTCGAATGGGCACGTGAAGGTTGTCTTGGGCTGATCCTCCGGAGCTATGGCCACTTGGTAGTAGCCCGAGAGACCGTCGAGGAAACAATAGAATTGGTGGCCTGAGAGACAGTCGAGAATCTGATCAATGAACAGCAACGGAAAGTGGTCCTTCTTTGTTACGGCGTTGAGTCGCCGGTAATCAATGCACATTCTCCACCCGGTAGTGATACGGGTGGGGACCATCTCTTTCTTTTCGTTCTCGATGACGGTGATGCCCCCTTTCTTAGATACCACATGAATCGGGCTGACCCACTCGCTGTCGGCCACTGGATAGATGAGTCCCTCGGAGTAGAGCTTCAGCACCTCCTTCTTCACAACCTCCATCATGTTCGGGTTGAGCCTCCGTTGGCTGTCCCGAACAGGCTTAGCACCCTCCTCCAGAATGATACGGTGCATGCACATGGAAGGGCTGATGCCCTTAATGTCTCCTAGGCTCCAGTCAATGGCCTTCTGGTTCCTCTTAAGTACCTCAATCAGCTCCTTCTCCTCTTCCCGATTAACCTCAGCAAAGATGATAACCGGCTTTTGCTTCTCATCATCGAGGAACACATATTTGAGGTGGCGAGGAAGTTCTTTAAGCTCTAGGGTGGGTGGGTTCGGTTTGTCGGGCTCGTCTGCTACAAAGAGCTCGATGGTTGGCTCTTCTCCCTCATCAAGATCGGGTAATGACCTTTCCTCCAGGTCTCGTACGGTCATCTCTCCCACGAACGAATCTGCTACATCAACGAAGGCACACTCCTCCACAAAGTTAACTGAAGATGCAGATGTGGCTTCCCAGACTAAGATAGATACGGATTTGCCTAAGACAGTCATGTTCAAGGTCCCGTTCTTGACATCAATGAGGGTGTTGGTGGTGGCCATAAACGGTCTGCCGAGAAGGATAGTGTGATCTTTCCCATTTTCGTGCACATCCCCCACATCCAAGACGACAAAATCTACCGGGATAATGAGCTTCCCGACACGAACAAGGACATCCTCAACTACCCCCTTGGGGTATCTGATCGAACGGTCAGCCAGCTGGAGGCACATTCGGGTTGGTCTCAAATCACCGAGACCCAACCGCTGAAAGATCGAGAACGGCATAAGGTTGATTCCCGCTCCGAGGTCAAGCATCCCCGAAGCTTCCTTTCCGTTTCCGAGGGCTATTTGAATCACGAAGCCTCCGGGATCTCGTTCTTTCTTTGGAAGGTCATGCTGCATAGCACTTGCAGTCTCGTAAACCACTACCTTCTCTACGTCTCTGAATTTCCTTTTCTTCGTCACTAAGTCCTT